AGTGACCACATTTGTGGTATCACAGACTGGCTGAAGGGTAGCAGCTGGTGAAAACATGTCTGGGCTCCTTAAAATTACTCTTTTGTTATTTGACATTAATCCACTAGATGGTGCTCTGAGGTCTCCATCCAGGGAGTAAATTTGACAGAATTTGTTTACATTTTGTAGCCCAAGGTTCTCAAAAATCTCTAGGTTTATTTTAAGCTGTTGAGGTAATGCAGACTCCAATGTGTTGCAAATATTATTCTGACAAGTTTCAATCTTAGTAAGAATTCTTTTAAACCAAGAGGTTTGTTTCTCAAACACAATTTTGAAAAACACAAAAATGCTGAATGATCACTGACCAGTTCCATGGAATTATAATTTTAAAATGCTTTAAGTTCCAATGCATTCAAACTCCCTTCTTTTCTCCTATTAATTCACAGTAATTCATGATACTAAAAAAACAAAACAAACCCCAAATCAAAACATAGCCAGGTGAGGCAGTGTGTACTTGCAACCCCTGCTACTGAGGAAAGCTGAGGTTGGTTAATCGATCTCTAGCTCTCAGAAATTCTGAGCTTCTGTAGGGCTAGAAACCATTTGATGTCCTGTCCACACTAAGTCTGGTACCAATATGGTAAATATCAAGCATGAGGAGGCATCAGGCTGCCTAAGGAAGGGCAAATCAGCACAAGTAGGGAAGAGATCAAGTCAAACCTCCCTGCTGATCAGTAGTGGATTTGGGCTCATGAGTGGCTACATTTCCAACCTGGGTGAGATAGAAAGGCCTAGCTTCCAAATAAACAGATACATAAATGAATAAAAAAAACAAATATATAAATCAAAACCAACCATATATGAATCTTGAAACCATTTCATCATTATAGGATTTTAAAGAGCATTACTGGAATTTTCACTCTATAACAAAAACTTCAAAGTGGGGTAGGGAGGAATTCAAGTGCATGGTAAAAATGAAGCTCTACATGTCTTAAAATGTTCTTTAAAATGTGTTCCTTTAAGTGCTTCCAAACAGATAAATCACAAATGAATAATGGTACAGCATTTATACCTTAAGAGTCAGTTTGTTTTGCTAACTTTTGAAAGTTATTAATTTTAGTTCATAGCATCAGATCTAGGGCTGGAAGGGACCTTCTAAGTAGAGGCTATCTAATCCAATTCCCTAATTTTACATAAAGAAGGCCTTTTTGTGATTTTTCAGTTTTTTCAAGTTCATTTTTTAGAATCTGTGTATTTACATACATTTTTTTTCTGTCATTCTAAAAGGAGAAAAAATATTCCTATTAATCTGTATTCAATTCAGTATTCGCTTGATTTTTCCAGTAGATCATCAGTAGTACCCCTTATGAGGAAAAAGCATTTGTCAATATTTTGTTCGCAGGCTATTCAGAAAGGAGACCCTAATGACTGAGGATGAACATACAGCAAATATACATAATCTTGAATGTGAAAAACTAAAATATGTGTGTATTATATATATACATGATTAATTCCATCTTATATTACAAAAGAAACACTAAAATATATAAACACATATTTTGTAATAAATGGCAGAAGGGTAGCCCAGTGAATAGAGTCTTGAATTGGAGTCAGGAAGACCTGAGTTCAAATTCTAACTCAGACATTTACTAGTTGTGTGACCCTGGGCAGCTCACAACCTCTCTCAGCCTCAATTTCTTTATCTGCAAAATGGGGATAATAATAGCACCTACCTCATACAGCTGTTACGAGGATAAAGTGATATTATATATGAAATGCTTTGTGAATCTTAAAGCGCAATATAAACTCTATCATTGTTATTATTAAGTACATTGCAAGGGAAAAACAAATCAACAGTTGGTCAGCTTGGAGTTTAACACTTGGATAAAAATAGTTAAAGGAGGTAGTCACTCCCTTTCAGATTAGTAAAAGAAAATTTCACATAAAAGATGGTACTCTAGGAAATGCTGAAAATAACAGAAAGGAGATTAGTTAGCCAAGAAAGATTGAAAACAAAAGGGGATAAAATATAAAACTCTACAACTCTACACATTTTGTTTTTTAATGTGTATATTTACATACATACATATACATATATATGTGTATATATATATATATATATATATATATATATATATATATATATATATATAGGTGAAATAAGCCTACAGAGTAATGTTTTATTAGAAATTATAATAGCGGCCAGCAATCATATGATGCAGGCAGCTTAGTACAAATTGTCTACCACAGCATGGGATGTGTGTAAGGAAATGGTAAGCTCATTGAGGGCAGAGACTGTGTAGATCTTATTCATCCTTGTATATACCAGTAATGACAGTGCCTTAAATAGAGTAGGTGCTCAAAGAACATGTACTAAATCAAATGGAAATAACTACTCAATTTTCAGGTGCTGATTTATGCCTCATTCAAACTTTTTAAGGTTTATCAGATGAGAGAAAGGGTGTGAAAACATTTTGTAGCAATAAATTGCAGTACCAATGGTCTGAGCTGGTTCTGAATCAGGTTAATACAATGAGATCAGGCTCAGGACTGGGATGTGTTGGGGGTCATATGATAAAAAGAAGTTTACCTAATGGTCAAAAGGAAATTCAATAAGCATTGATTCAAGTGGATGTGCCTCCCTTCTGCCTGTGTATCAGCCACTGCTAGAGAATATCCAATGAGTGGCAACTAGAATGATGAAGGGCCTTCAGTCCATGTCACATGGGGACTGGTTGAAGGAACTATGGATGTTTAGCTTGGAGAAGAGTTAGGGGAGATATAATAGATGTGTTCAAGTATTTGACGGACTGTTAAGTAGAAGAGGAACTATTAATAAAATAATAACAAGTAGCATCTATATAGTGCATTAAGGTTTACAAGGTGCTTTATGAATATTATCTCATTTTATCTTCACTGTAACCCTAGAAGGTAGGTATTATTATCCTCTCTTTACAATGAGAAAACTGAGGCACAGAGATATCTGTTAAGGGACCTACCTAGGGTAACACAGTAAGTGTCTGGAGTGGGATTTGAATGCAGAACTTCCTAACCCCAAGTCTAATGCTCTATCTTACTGTACCTACTAGCTGCCATCTAATTAGATTATTTGTATCAAGGGGACAGAACCATGAGCAATGGGTAGTGGCTGTAAGGAGATAAATTTATACTTGATGGCAAGAAAAACTTCTAAACACTTAGAGCTATTCAAACGTAGAACAGGCTAACTCAGAAGGGGTGGTTTGGTGGGTTCCTCCTTCTCGGAGGTTGAACGATCAGATGCCAGGTATATTATAGCAGCCATCCTTTTGGTTGTGAGTTAGCCGAGATGACTGTGGAGGTCCCTTCCAACCCCCGAATTCTGTGAGTCTATGATTCTGCAGGGGATCCAAAAGATAGAAAAGAATGGGTACCCACAATATACCTGAGTACTGCCTGATCCAGATTAAAATATAATTGCGAAATGTTTAATAAGATAAAATGCAATAAAATATACATTTTACATTTTAAAACCAAGTCAATATATGGCTTGCAGGGATCCTTTTGTACAGAGCAGTGACCTCCTTCAATTTGAGTTTGACACCACTATACTAGACATAGAGAAAGGAGAATACCACATTTCAGAATCCAAGCTCGATACACTAATTAGCTGCTTGAACTTTGGACAAGTTTTTTTACTTTGTAACATGTTCTCTTATCTGTACAATTTGTCTGTATAGCCATGGGACTCTTGTGAGGATAACATGAGAGAATGGATGAATGGGTGGACAGGAAAATACTGCAAACCCCAAAGTGCTATTTATGTTTGACAGATGGTGACTGAATTACCTATTGGATGTTCAGTACAGTGCTTATCAAACATTACTGAGATCTGTTTTTTTTTAAATTTTCTTACCAATCTTGCTGTTACAATAATTTATATAGGGCTTATTACAAACCAGGCATTATGCTGAGCATTTTAGAAATATTATTTACTTTGATCCTCACAACAACCCTGGGAGGTAGGTGCTATTATTATCCACATTTTATAGTTGAGGAAACTGAAGCAGATAGAGGTTAAGTGACATACCAAGGGTCACACAGTTAGTAAGTTTCTGAGGCTGGATTTGAACTCAGGTCTTCCTAATTCCTGGTTCAGTATTCTATCCATTGTGCTACTTATGCTGCCTACTAATGATTTATAGATAGGTAATTCATTTATCAAACACTTGGTAGGCATCAGGCACTGTGATAAGTGCTAGAAATACAAATACAAGGGGGGAAAGGTAGTCCGTATCCTGTAGAAGTTTAGATTCTAATTAAGTGGAGGGAAAGAAGAGAAACTGGAAAAACACAGAGTCAGGAGTACAGCCAGGAAAGAAGAATTATCTTTTTAACATACACTTCCCCTCTTGACTTTCCTTTGGAATCTCAACCTTGACTTTTATTACCCTGGTCAAGTCACTTACCTCTCTGGACCTCAGTTTTCTCATGTGTAAAATGAGACAGTCACACTACAAACAATATTAAAATAGAAGGAATGGAAAACAAAGAAAGAAACAGTGTATATAATAAAGGATACAATGTAAACCAGTATGCTAATATATAAGTAAAAAAGTCTAAAGAAACTGGGAAAAAAAATTTCACATGTAGGCACAAACACATTCAAGGTACAAATATGTGATAATTAAAATACCTTACAGCTGTGTAACACTTCCAAGTGCTTTAATATCCTTCCTTTATTTGGTCAGATTTGTTTGCTGTTATAACATCTAAACATAACTAGTTAGAGAAGGAAGCTTGCTTATGTTAGGGACATTTTCCCAAATAGTTGTTAGCTCTTTAAACCTCTCTCTCTTTTTTTATTGCATGTCATAGAACACAATTTAAGAGTACTGTTTGGAACACATTCTCTTCCCGAAGATACTGAACTTTTCATTTAAAATACTAGAAACAACTTCTTCAAACTCTACTATTTTTTCCTATTCCTATTACTTCACAATAACATATAGAATTTTATAAAAACCAGTATTACACAAATCTTGAAACCAATTCAGCAGTTTAGTATGCCTTTTAGAAACAGCATCACTGGAATTTTCATTCTTACAACAAAAATATCAAATAAAAATTTTGGTGGGAAGGAGTAAAGTACAAAGTAAAGATTTGTATTTCATATAATGTTCTTTTAAAAGTTCACAAATAAAACAAATGAACACTGAGTAAATAAAGGTAACAGAGTATTTGCACCATAACAATGTTTGCTTTCAACTCTTGAAAGTTAAGACCTCTTCTGGATTTTTCAGTTTATCTTTCAAGTTCTGCTTCTAGAATTTCCCCCCAGGTATCTGCATCCATAGGGCACATATTTTTTTCTGGTAGGCTAACAGGAGAGCAAATATTGCTGTATCTGCCACTTAGCCATTCATGCTTTACCTTACTCTTCCAGTAGTTCCTCAATAGCGTTACCTGAAAAAGGTAAGCCATTGTCATTTAAAAGCAGGTTGATATTTTGTTTTCTGGGTATTCAGGAGAGATGAAGACATACAGTAAGATATATAATAAACTAAAAACATAATATACATGAATATGTACAATAGAATATTAAATGTAAAATATAGGAATAACTTTATATTTTACAAAATGCATTCATGGGGGCAGAGAAAGAAGAGAAGGGTTGCTTGGGCAGGGTACGGTTAAAAGAAGCGGTCGCCTCCATTCTGAAGAGCAAAACAAATTTTCATGGAGAAGTTGGGAGTTGTTTAAAATGGTGGATTAGCTGGAAAAGGGGAATACACCAAAGTTTTTTGAAGGGCATTGGAAGAGAATGGAGTCTGCAAACTAGGTCAGTGTACACGAGTTTGATTTCTAGCAAAATTCTAATATGTATTATGAAGGGATGTTTACCGAACATAAAGAAAAGGAAGTATTTCTCACAAAGAGCTAGCATGGTTTCATGAAGAATAATAACTCACATTAGCCTAACCTTACTTTCTTTTAGGGCAGCACATGTTCTGGGGCAACTCCCCCAATTTGCACTCCCATTCAGGGGTTGAGGGTCCAAGAGGATCTGTTGACTACTCCTACTCAGAATTTGCCCTGAGAAGCTTGGGTTTCTAATATTGTCAGTCATGTACCTCTACTGGTATACTTCCAATTGATAACCACTAGCCATCTTAATTGGCTTTTAAAGGTATTTATTAAGATGATATAGTAAAAATAATCAGAACAAAACATATCCCCCCCCAAGAAAAGAGAGTGTACTCTCCCAAACATATCCCCCCCAAGAAAAGAGAGTGTACTCTCCCCTTGTACACATAGAATTACTGGGGAAGGTTGGCTCAAGTACAAAGTACAAAAGTAGTGAGATACACGTAGGGAACCATGTGGCAAAGGGGTACTTTGCAATCTTAGTTGTTGGGAATCCTTTTCTCCCTCTGTGGCATTCTCATGAAGTTCCCCTTTGGTGTAGCTCTTTGCTGGATTCTGAGGCTTAGTGCCTTTCTAGAGTCCATAGTAGGCATGCTATCACAAAGGGTTATACTTCTCCCTCCAGTGGCTCTCTTTCTGTATCTATATAATCGTATTTTCTCTTTTGTGTGTCTCCTGCTGCTGCTCCCTGTTGGAAGTGTTGTTTCCTATCAGTCCAGCCTCTGATCAGTGAAGAGCAGTGATGATGAAACATGCTATTCATCTCTTGACAGAGAAGTGAGAGATTTAAGATGCAGGATAGGGCATAAATTTTCAGACACTTTGTTTGCTTGACTGCTATGTGTTACAAGGACTTTCTCTTTTTCTTTTTTTCCCTGGGGGCGGAGAGGGTGAGATGGAAATAGGGATAGGATAGCAGCAAAAAAGACAAGAGAGTCAACGAGATATCTTTTTAAAAAATGCAGAGAAAAGAAGGAAGAGCAGAAAGAAGCAAAGACAAGCAGTATACAGCTTTGAAAGCTTTAGGTTAAACTTATACACTTAAAAAGAAAAGTTGCAATTAATGTAGATTTGCAATTTTGTGTAAAATCCTTTTATTCTGTTCATATATATATATATATATATATATATATATATATATATATGTAAATATGGAAATGCCTATTTTATTCAATGTTTGTTAAGTTCAGCATAAAAACTTACCCTCCACGAATATCCATTTCCTTGACCATCATCTACCTCTTTTTGACATGTAGCATTAAAAAATAATGTGCTCCTATACATAGTAAGAAAGACACTTAACACTCTGTCTTGGTAAGTTTGGGGCACCACTGTTTGAGAAACTGAAGTGTCCATAGCAGAGTAATCATGATAGTGAAAGGCTTCAGATTCATGCCATGGTTGAAGGAAATGAGGCTGCTTAGTCTAGAGAAGTATTAGAGGGAATATGTTAGCTGTCTTCAAGCATTTGAAGGGCTAGCAGATGGAAGAGGGGTTATTCTGGATGGTCCCAAAAGGCAGAATTAGAACAATGGGTAAAAGTAACAAAGAAGCAAATTCAGGCTTGATGTAAAGAAAAGCTTAAAAACTCCTCCTAGGATCCTGGATCTAGAGCTGGAAAGGACATGAAGGCTGCACCAGAAGTAGAATGGGATGCTTCTGGAGAAAGCAGTGGGCTCTTCCTCACTAGAGGCCTTTCAGCAAAGGCCAGGCAATTATTTGGTTGTTTTGGCTGCAGAGGAGATTCTTCAGGCACTGGCTGAAACAGATGGCTGTCAAGGCCTCTTCCAACTCTGAAATGTAATTCTGAGGGGTGAGGCTTCCCTCAAACTCTCTATGACTATATTGGCATATGTATCACACACATGTAAACATACATGATGTTATAAGGATATTGATGTAAGGAGATTATGATGTAAGAGATTATGATGGATAAGTCGTAGGAAGTGGTTTTGAGTTTTACAATGTATAACTATGTGGAATTTGCGAATTTTTAGGAGGTTACCATTTTTTGTTGTTGTTGTTGGCATAGGCACTACTTATAATACAGTCATTTTCAATGTTTAAACTTACCCTCCATGAATATCCATTTCCTCGATCGCCATCTATTTCTTTTTGACATATAGCTCTAACAGTCAAACAGTGGGGTTTCCATAAGTAGTCACAATTCTTAATTTCTTGATTCCAACTTTTACATGTTGTTGCAGCTCGGCATAAACTCTGAATGTCGAGTTGGCTAAAAATTTTAAAAGTGACTTCTGGAGGTAATATTTCAACAAAATTGTCTTTATTTTCTTTCTTCTTCTTATCAGGACAAACAGAGTTCAGTTCTTTACCAGCAATAGGTGAATTACTATTTCTCTTGGAGATTTTCTGCATAATTTGATGTTTCAGTAAATCAGTTTCATATGTGACCTAAAATACAGTATAACATAATTTTCTTTCTTCAGAATACACTACGGATTCTACTCATACTTTATCATTTTATCCTATTAAAGAATCACTTTTCCTAAATGAAGTATCCCCGCATATCTGTAAAGGTGTAGGAATAGTAAATGTTAAGCATTTGAGCCTCATGGGGACCTTTCAAAGTAGTTAGTGTAAAAATCATTACCTCCATTTTACAGATGAGACAAGAGTTCAGAGAAATCAAGTGACTTGTCCAAAGTTACATAGCTAGTAAGTGGTGGAGCTGGCCTTAAATCCACTGACTTCAAGTTCGACTCTTTTTCTAATATATTATACTAATCTGAAATGATGTAGGAATGTTCTTCTGAAAGGCAGAATCTATGTTTTAGTTTACAATGTTTTAACCCCAGCTTGTTGCTCATTTGTTACTAAATATGTGAAATTCAACTGCTTAAACTCTTATAAAATTAGGATACTTGATGTCTACCAGAATTGACAATGACTAAAAATGCTATGCCATTAATCTCTTAGCTGTCAATTTGTGAACAGGCCTACTAAGTAGTTTATACAAAAAAAAAAGTTGGCTTGCTTTGTTTTTTAGTGTTTTTATTTTTAGCCATGTAGTTTATAAAAGTATTCCCACCAGCAGAAAGAACACTGGACTTGGAGTCACTCTTCAACTTACTCCTTTTGTGATTTGTGTTATTTTATTCACAAACTCTGAACCTTAGTTTCTTCACCTCTAAAATGGAGATAATAATTCTTATACTAACTCACAGGACTGTTGGGAGAAAAACTCAAAATGTAACTACTACTAGTAGTTCATTTTGGCACTAGAGTAACAATCACAATAATGAGAAATATTATTATAAATAAAATATAAACATTAATATAAACAAAATATAAATATATAATATATAAAATTTATATGTAGCACTTATTAATGTGCCAGGCACCATAAAGTGCTTTACAATTATTATCTCATTTGATCCTCACAACAACCCTGGGAGATAGGTGCTATCATTATCTATTATCCCCAATTTATAGATGAGGAAACTGAGCCTCATATTAGTAAAGTGACTTGTGGAGGATCACACAGCTTGTAAGTATCTGAGATTGGATTTGAACTGAGCTCTTCCTGACTCCAGGCCCAGCACTCCGGCTGCCTAAAACCATCTGAAATTGTTAAGGAGTTAAGATTAAAGTCATAAAGGCATGAAGCGTAAACTAACTAAACTAACACAGTTTAGTGGTATAATTTGTGCTTTGGAAATAATTCCTGGAGCCATCCAGCCAGCACCATTAGTTGCAAAGACAGGAAGAAACATAGGGTTATACGACTTCCCCCCCGCCACAAATAACCATGCTAGATTATTGAGCTAATGATGTCAAGAATTAGTTTCCATATATGCTTATCATTTTCATTGTAGTATACCTATAATTACCTGAAATCTTAGCTGACAGTGATCCCTAGTGGGACAAAGCAAGAATAGGGATGAAAGATAGAACTCTTTACATCTACCACTAAGTCCAACCTCTTGCTCTCCCAACCCTATAGATCAACTTAATGACAGATACCAATTTGAAGTACCCTATTTTTATACATAAACACGTTTAAAATACTACTTATGTTTAATATATTTAGTTTCCATGTTCTTTTAAAAACTATCATTAGGATGAAACACTTTAAAAAGCTAAGCATGAGACCACTTCCTAGATTTGCTACTTAAATAATGAAAATAATAACAAAATCTGGAAAACACCCAAAGAAGAAGACAAGAAGCTGACAGAAAAACAAACAAGATTTTTTGTTATTTTGCTAATGTATGTGTAATGGTTTCTGATAGGTGGACATCCAGAGTGTTCTACTGGTACACAATGTTAGGAGAAATTAAGGTGGCCTCTATCATATTGTATGAACCCCCTATGGTGAAATTATGAGAGGACATCAAAAAGATTCGCTCAAAATGGGCAGGCAAATAGTGTTTGATAGGTATCACTGGAGGAAACTCACAAACTGATAAGAACTTAGATCCATTTGAGTATCGGTAACATAAACATTAAAAATTGTAAATAACTTAAAATACATGGTTTTATACATGGTCTCTTTTAAATGTCTATTTAAATGCTTTGTTGGTAACAAATTACTCTCTTCCTCCAAAATATTGCTCTTCTGAACTAGGTTTCTGTGTTGGGCTTTCCCCAAACTACAGTTCCTACCATTCTATTTGTTTATTTTTGTGCTCTAATAGTTAAATCATTTCTTTCTTTTGAGTCAATCTTGAGCTGAGGTTATGATGGTGAAAATAAAATAGAAGCCTTCTTTATCTGAATGTGGTCCTCTGGGCAAAATTGTGAAGGTTTACCTTTTAGTACCAGGGACCCTCAAATGTCCTGTAACTGTCTCTTCTCTATCAAAACTTTCTTTCAGAGTTCCTAAATCCTAAAACTTCGAGTTTTTAAGTCAGGCTTACCACTCCAAGAGGGCATTTTAAACTATTTAAGCCTTTAGATTCTTCCACCTCTAATTATGGAAAGACTTGGAGGTATTTCAAGCATCTACTTGCAGCAGGCGGGTGAGGATACCTTCACTAGGTTCCTAATGCATGACTTCTAAAACGGCTGTTGATCCTCCCACAAGACATTCCTATTCCTGGACCGATTTCTCTCCCCATCTCCTCGTATTGGCTTCCCTGAATTCCTTCAAGTCTCAGCTAAAGCTTCACCTTCTGCAAGATGCAGTTCCCAGTCCTCTAGTGCCTTCCCTCTGATACTACCTCCTGTTTACTCTGCATATATCTTGCTTGTACATATGTTGTTTGCACATTTTCTCTCCCACTGGACTGTGAGCTCTTGCAGAGCAGGGACTGTCTTTTGCCATTCTTCGCATCCCCGTGCTTGGCACAAAGTGGGCGCTTAATAAATGCTAATCGATTAATAAAAAAGAAAATGATGCCCAGAAACCCATGATTTCTCCATATATATATTTAAGGATTGTAAAGGGAACTTTGACAAATTTCCCTTGTCACTGAAAGCTACTAAGTGTCCTGAGTCTGTCCTTTCCTAGCTATGGGGACACCGGCAATCCACTTTAACTGCTCTGAGTTTCTTTTGAGTTCCTCACCTATAAGATAGGTATAATACCTGCACTACCTACTTCACAGAGTTGTGAAAACAAGCACTTTGAAGATTTAAGGTGCCACAATAAAAACAAAAACACGGTAAAATCACCCCCCCCCGCCCCCTTCAGCAGCAGGTGACAGTCATGGGCTGGGGATGACAGCCCCAAGAGGGACAGGGCACGAGCCCCGGGAAGTGTCCCACCCTCAGGCTTGAGGAGTGGTGACACACACGCCTCCTCTTCGGTCGCCCCCCGCCCCCGAGCCTCCTTGTAATTGGGGAGTTTGACAATGACAAAAACAACAACGGTCCCCACCAACTGTCACTGAAGGTTGGTAGCTGCGCGTCAGGCTCCCAGCATTCGCGGGCAATGGGGGGCGCGTGGGCTGCTGGGAAGTCCGGGTCCCCTACCTGCTGGGGCTTGGGCGGCGTTACACGCCCCACTCTCTACGGTTCTAAAGGCCGTTTAAATCCTCTGGAATTCGAATCCAACCCCATGGTTCTGGCTGGCTCTTCGCCCCGCCCACTTCGTCAGCCAAACTGCTCCTTTCTGCGCAGGCGCAAAAGCAAGCTGCGCAGCGCCTGCTGGGAAGGGTAGTTTTTAGAGTCCGGATTAAACGAAACTGCGAAGGGAAGGCAGGAGGGCTAAAGACTACAAGAACCAGAGCCGCTGTGAAGCCGCGATGGGGTGGGACACGTAGTGGGCTTTCAAACCTTCGGACTGGTTTATGAGGGGAATCCCCATGCGTCACGGGGCGGGGTCAGTAGGAGGCAGTCTCCAGTGTCTGGGCGTCCTGGTTTCCGCCGAGCTCGGGAGTACCCCGGGAAGGCGGAAGCAGCTTTTCCCACGTCCCTCAGTCCCCGGGTCAGTGAGGCTCCGAGGTGCAAGGCCGGGCTCCGGCCGAAGCTGCTTTCATCATGGCCGGGGGATTCGAGCTCGCGCCGGCGTCTGGCGGCCCTCGGGTGGTCTTGTCGCCCGGGGAGACAGTGATCGGACGCGGGCCGCTGCTGGGTGTAAGTGTGCGAGCGGCCCCCGGGGTGCGCCCCGGCTCTGCGGGTCCAGGCGCGCCGGCCGCAGAGGACCGGGGGTGGGCGTGTGCTGCTCAGCCAGCCCAGCGGTCCCTTTAAACAGCCCAGAAACTGTCTTCAAATCGGGGCGGTGGTGCGTTCATGAGCAAAGTGCTTTGCAAACCCCAGAGGGGCTCCTAAGTGTGCATTGCCATTTTCACTTTTTTTTTTTAATTTTAACCTAAGCGTTGTCATTTTGCCAGTTAATGTTTTATCAGTGGGCCACCTTCCCGCCCCAAACTCACAATACACTTTTAATTTTAATTTACACCATTAACATTTTCTCCGTTATTTAAGTCCAGACAATCAACAAAACAACACACCAAGCCCTAATTTAAGCATTCTCCTGATTAATGGGGTGTACATTGGCTCTCTGATCCAGCAGCGCCTTTACCTTTATAGTACCTAGGTGGCACTTTGTATGGAGCGCTGAACTTGGAGTCAGAATGACCTGGGTTGAAATCCTGCCAGAGATGCTTATTAGCTGTGTGACCCTGTGCAGGTCACTTAACCTGTTTGCCTCAGTTTCCTTGTATGTAAAATAGGCATAACACCTCACAGGGTGGTTGTGAGGATCAACTTAAAGATATCTATATCTGTGCTAGTTATTGGAACTTATAAAAGAAATAAGTATGTTATTTTCTTTATCTTTCATTTGATTTATTAGAAACGTACCCTCTTACATATCAACCTGTGTAGAGGATTATTTTAGTGCCAAAAGGCATCTCTAGTCCAGTGTCCTTATTTTGCAGATGGGAAAACTGAGATGCAGACAGAGAAAATGACAGTGAGTGAATAATTGGCAAAGGTGGATTCGAAGGCTGTTAATAATAATAGTACTAAAAAATAGCCTTTATATATTGCTTTATGTTTTATCTGGTTTGATCCTCGACCCTGTGAGGTAGGAGCTGATATAATCCCTATTTTACAGATGAAGAAACAGAGGCTAAGATATTTTGTCACTTACTCAGGGTCACACAGCTAGGAAGTGTGTGAGGCAGGATTTGAACTCAGGTTTTCCTGATTCCTAGGTTTAGTGCTTTCTGCTTTGTCCATAAAACATCTTGTTCAAAAGGTATTTTTGAAATGTTAGAGCTGGAAGGGCAATTGTTAGAGATAATCTAGTCCCACATCCTTGTTTTTCAGATGAGATAATTGAGGACTAGACAGGTTAAGTGTGTCCTAAGTCATACAAATGGCAAAGCTAGTAATACAAATGGCATAATTGGGACTGTCACTGGAGTATGACTCCCAAGTCCAGTGTTGTTTCCACCATTTTATTACCACCCAAGAATTTTACCTGCATCCAAGAATTTAAACAGTTTCCCTGCATAGATGTTCTAATAGATTCAGTTATTTGAATGGATGGTGTGGGAGTTTTTGTGATTTTTTTTTTTAGAAAATAAAAGAGACTTGGTTTGCATCTGCTACACTCCGTTTGAAGGTGCTAAGCCTTTCTTCCAAAGACTTTGCATTCAACTTTCAAATCAAGAAACATTTATTAAGTTATTACTATGTACAAGACATTTTGCCAGGTAGTTAGGATACAAGGACAAAAATAATTTCTGCCATATAGTGCACAAAACATATACAAATACATACAAACAAATAATTTTAAGGCAGATGAATGAGTATAACTTGGGACTATTAGAAAGTCTTCACAGAGGAAATGGAACCTGAGAGGCAATAATGAAAAGGAGTGGATTTCAGGCACCTGGAATAGCTTTTACCAATGACCCAAAGCAGGAAATAAGCTTTGAGGAATAGTTTACTAGTTCCTGTTTTCTGGTTTGGCTAGAATGGAGAGTTTGCAAAGGGGGTTTATTATTAAAGAAGGAAACTAAATAGAAGCCAGAGTGCACAGGGCCTTAAATGCTAAGGTGAGAAGTTTGTATTTTATCCTAGAAACAACAGGACATTACTGAGGATATTTGAGCAGAGGAGTGACCTGTTAAAATATATATTATAGGAATATTATTTTGACAACTGTGTTGGATAGAATGGAAAGGTGAGATTGGAAGCAGGTGGGCTATTACAGTGGTCCAATTGTTAGATGATGATGGCCTGAAATAGTCTGCTGACTATGTGAATAGAGAGGAGTGCTTAAGTATGAGAAATATTTTGGAGGTGAAAGAAACTAAATGAGCATGAGGTCAAGGAAATATTCAAGATTGACTGAAGTTCTGAATCTGTATCAGTGGGAAGATAGTGTTGGCTTCAACAAAAGTGGCAGTTTTGAAGATAACCACTTCTGTTTTGGACATGTTCGTTTTCCATTTACTGAAAGAACTGGCAGGTGTGGTTGCTAAATCACTGACATTCATTTTCAAAAGATTGTAGAGAACAGGAGAGGTACTGGAAAATTGGAGAAGGGCAAATATTTTCCTTATTTTCACAAATATGAAGAGAATAGAGTCTGCAAATTGGGCTAATGATCTTGATTCCCATTAATGGAAAAATTCCAGAACTAATTATTAAAGAGAGAGTGAACATGTAGAAAGGGAAGTGATGGTCAAAAAGATCCAATGTGACTTTAATAGGAATATGAAATTAATGTTATTAGCTCTTTTGATAGGGTTATTAGAATGGTAGGTTAGGAAAGTGCCATAGAATTTCCCCAGATTTTAGCAAAGCATAGTTGATAGCTTGTCGCATGTTATTTTTGTGGAAAGAATGGAGAGATGTGGATTAGGTTATAATACAATTAGCTGTATTCAGAACTAGAGTATTTGAATTGCCAGAGCCCAAGAAGTGGTTATCAGTGTTGGTTCCCTGTCAGCTTGGAAGGAAGTCTTCAATGTAATGAGCACTCCAGGGATTTGTACTTGGCCTGCTTCATTTGAAATGTTTATTACTGATTTCAAAAAGGCATACATAGCTTGCTTATTAAATTTTCAGATGAAACAATACTAGGAAGGATAGCTAACATGATAAATGAGAGTGTCAGGTATCAAAACGTCTTGAAAGGCAGGAATATTGAGCTGAATTTATAAAAGTAAAATAAAAAGAATTATAAAATTTTACCCTTTGGTTCAAAAAAATTGGCCTAAATACAAGATACAAGATAGTGGTTTGTCAGAACAAGTTTTTTAGTTTTTAGTGTTTTAGTAGTTTTAGTTTCAGTATGAGCCAGCAATGTGACGTGGCAACCAAGAAACCTGTAACTTTGATCTGCATTACTCTGTATTTTGATATGTTCAAACCACACTTGGAACATTGTGTTCAATTTTGGGCATCATAGTTTAGGGAGGACATTCATAAAAGTAGAAATTATCTTCTTTAGGAAGGAAATTGGAATGGTGAAAGGCCTTGAATTTATGCTATATGAAGATTGATTAAAGGAAGTTGAGATTTTTAGCCTGGAGAAGAAAAGTCTTAGGGGGAAAATGATAGAATGTTCAGGTATGAACAAGATGTCCTCTGAGGTCCTTTGAACTATGAAATTCTGTGAGCTGTCAAGTAGACAAGACATCCAGGTAGAACTTGTATTTTGACACTAAGAATCTTCTTTCTGTCAACTTAAACAAATTGGCCTGTATTTTAAGAAACATTTTTTTCTTCAGAATCAAGTCACAGCACACTGTGCATCTGAGGTACTACCTTTTACAAGGATAGCCATTTATAACTACATTGTTATAGCTGTCTGACTGTGTGTTTGCCTATCAGTGAACAAACATTAAGCACGTATTATTTCTAGGCACTGGGGATGATACAATACAAAGAATCAAGTAATCCTAATGCCCAAGGAGCTTATATTCTAATGGGGGAAACATCAGGTACAGATATAAATATATGCAGCATAAATATAAAGTGAATAAATAGATACACAAAGTAATTAAATGGAGAGTAGCTTTAGAGAGAGCGAGGACACTAGCAATTGAAAGGATTGTGAAATCATGCAGAAGATAGTTGCGTCTTAAGAAAGGAATGGACTCTGAGACAGGTAAGGAGGAATGTGTTTCAGCCATGTCTGATGGCCAGTGCAAAGACACAGAGATGGAAGATGTGACTGAATTACAGTTTGAGAAGAAAAGTACTGTCCACCAAAGCTTGAAAGCTAGGTTAGGGCAAGGTTGTGTAGGACTTTAAAAGCTAAACAGAGAAGTTTTTATTTTATCATATAGGCAACAAGAAATCGCTGGAGTGATTTAGTACAGATGTGCATGGTCAGATCTCTGCTGAAGGAAGATTACTTTGACCTCATTGTGTAAGATGTACTGGAGTGGAGAGAGGCTTGAGGCAGGAAGATGGTTGCAGCAATCTAGGCTAGCAATGATGAGGACCAGAACTAAAACAGTAGCTTTGTAAATAGAAGGAAAGGAGGGGTCAGTTGCAAGATATGTGAAGGTAGAGATGACAGGATTTGACAACTGATTTTATATGTGAAATAAAGGAATGGAAGGAATCCAGGATAATTCCTGTTACAAATTTGGAAGAATGGAAGGATGGTGATGCTATCTCTTGGATCTTCTTTCAATGAGCTAAAATCCCATCTTCTACAAGAAGCCTTTCCTGATCCCCATTAAAGCTAGTGCTTTCCCTCCCTTGATTATTTAATTTATCTTGTATATATGTGTGTGTGTGTGTGTATGTGTATATATATATATATATATATGCATATATATATACGTACACACACACACATATATATCTTCATAAAAACATTGTTTGCATGTTACTTCCTCCTTTAGACTGTGATTTCCTTGAGAGCTAGGACTCTTTTTTGCCTTTCTTTGTGTCTCAGTGCTTATCACAGGTGTTTCATTTCCCCAGCTCCATTACTCTGGACTTCACCTTCTTCTCCTCACCTTCCCTGTCTGTTCTGAACCTACCCACCTCCCTCCTCCCCCAACCCCTGTTCTGCTTCACTTTGTATGATGTCTTCCCTTATTAAATTGTAAGTTCCTTCATAGCTGGGACTGTTTTTGCCTTTTTTTTTTTCAAGTGCTTAGAACAGTTCCTGACGCATAGCAGATGCTTAATAAATGTGAAAGGTTTGGAGATTTTGATTAAAGAGAAGAGAAAGTTTGTAGGATTTAGGGAGTAAAAACAATTTCCATTGAAGAGTATTGAAGGGAAGTGGTGTGAGGCAAGGTTTTAGTTAAGGGGAAGCTTGGAGGAGAAGCAATTGTGGTAAGTTGAGGAAATGCTAAAATCAGGTGAAGGATGAAGATTTAAGAATGGAGAAGACTTGGATATGAGGTAGGAGGGAAGGTGCTAGTGAATAAGGAGAGACTGAAGATGAAAGAAAAGGAGAGATTAAGAGAGTAGATTAGTGGAGGATATAAGATTAATAACATAATTGGAGGAGCTGGCATTGGAGAAGAGAAGCCCCATCTCCTCATGAGAACCTGGAGCATTAGAGGGGAGATTGTGGGGGATGATGAATAGTGATTTTGAGGTTAGTAGTAAACCAGAAGTGGAAAGCTCAAGGCTTTCAGTAAAGGCTTTCAAGGTTTTCAGGAAGTAGGAGGTAAGGTCCTCTGCTGAGCGATAAGGGGGAGGAAGTGCTCTCAAAATGATTATATTTGGAAAAATTACACCACTGTTTAGAATAGGCTTTTAAGTAGAGCCCCAAAACAAGCTAACTTGCATTGTTCACATCTATGATATTATGAGGATGGTACATTTGAGAGCAATGAGCATAAGGAGTCTGAAGTACAGTTCTAGTCTTATAAAGAGCATTTTGAATTTTTGTTTCAATTCTTAATTTTTGAATTACATTTTTTAATTAAAATTTGAATTCATTTAGATCTAGTATGCTGTGGGTCTTGCAAATTTTGGTAGTTGGCTTAAATCTAAACTAACTATACCTTTATAGTTTTAATTCAACTCACATTTTATTTCTTGCTTTATTTAAACATACATTGAGATGGTCACATTCTTTAAATTCCTTTTTATAGATAACAGACAAAAAAATATCAAGAAAACATGCCATCCTGGAGGTGATAGGTGATCAACTTCGAATCAAACCGGTAAATCTGTTAATGATTCCTCTTCTATTGATGACTTAATGTTTTTCTTAACCTTCTGAGTCTGGAAAGCTGATTTTGCATGCTAATGGAAAATATAGAAGTAAAACTAGAAACGCAATGCTAATATATAGTTAGAAGATGTTGGTACAAGTCACCTATTTCTTTCCCAAGCAGTGCTGTCATACATAAGATTGAGAAAACTAGTTGGTACTAATATTAATATATATTATTACCTAGGTTAACTATTTTAAATGAAGACTTGTAAGGAAAAACATCATGATATGTAATAGTCATTGGGGGAATAATGTAGCTACTATATGCTGTAGTTATTCTTTTTTTTTTTTTTTGGCTAGGCAATGGGGTTAAGTGACTTGCCCAGGGTCACACAGCTAAGTAAGTGTTATGTGTCTGAGGCTGGATTTGAACTCAGGTCCTCCTGAATCCAGGGCCAGTGCTCTATCCACTGTGCTACCTAGCTGCCCCTGTAGTTATTCTTTAAAAAGCAAAACAAAAGAAAACAAGAACTTGTCCATATCCTAGTTTAGCTTCAAAAAACTACAACATTTAGCCACTACTCAGCTTAATGTTTTAAAGGAAATTTAAGAACTTCTGCTGAGTTCTAGGAATTAAAAAAATACTTTTGCTGTATAGTATTTCTGAACGAGACAGACTTCTCAGACTGATTTCAGAGACTCTGTGATGTTATCATTCTCTTCTGTATTCCAAATGCATTATGTGAATGAAAGAAATACATGTACAGATCTGTATTCTTTCTTGATTGGCAGCATGATATAACACTAAACATTAAGTATAAACAAGTGCACTAATACAAAGCTTAGTGGAATCTTATAGGCCTTCATTTTTTTTTATCTCTCTGAATCACTGTGTTCTTTTTGTTTTCTTTTTGTTTTCTATTGGTTTTAGTAAAGATTTCCAGAGATTGTTTTATTGAGTCATTTAAAAAAATTTTTTTTTTGGCTTTTAGGCAATTGGGGTTAAGTGACTTGCCCAGGGTCACACAGCTAGTAAGTGTCAAGTGTTTGGTCTGAGGCCAGATTTGAACTCAGGTCCTCCTGACTTCAGGGCCGGTGCTCTATCCACTGTGCCACCTAGCTGCCCCTTTATTGAGTCATTTTTAAATGCCTCTTTCATTAGAGTTTAATGTCTAACAGCCAGAAATGTTTGTTTTATAGTACTTACCTTGGTTAGTATCTTGTTAGCATCATTTTTCATCTTTGTGTCCTCAATACTTTATACAGTATTTTGTACATAGTAGCACATAATAAATGTTAATGGAGTTGAGTTGAATTGAATTGTATTGATCATAGTAGCCAAATCTTTCATAGTTGATCACTATCACAACATTGCTATTACTGTGCACAATGATTTCCCAGTTCTTCTTACTTCACTTTGCATCAGTTCTTATAGGTCTTGCCATGTTTTTCTGAAATCACCCCCTCACTTGTTATTTTCTACAGTACAATAGTTTTCCATCACAATCGTATGTCACAACTTGTTTAGTTACTCCCCAATTTATGAACATCTCCTCAATTTCCAATTCTTTGCCACTACAGAAAGTGCTGCTATAAATATTTTTGTGCATAGAGGTCCTTTTCCTTTTTTCTTTGATTTCTTTGTAGGGGTATTGCTGAGTCAAAGAGTATGCAGTTTTGTAGCCCTTTGGGCATAGTTCCAAATTGTTCTCTAAAATGGTTGGATCATTTCACTACTCCACCAGCAGTTCATCAGTGTACCTGTTTTCCCCTCATTCTTTGTAGCAGTTGTCATTTCCCATAGGTGGGAGGTGGTACCTCAGGGTTTTAATTTTCATTTCTCTAATCAATAGTGATTTAGAACATTTTTTTTAATATGGCTATTGGTAGCTTTGATTTCTTCTGAAAACTTCGTGTTTGCATCTTTTGACCATTTTCAATTGGGTAGTGGCTTTTATTTTTATAAATTTGACTCAGTTCTGTACTCAGTATATATTTGAGAAATGAAGCCTTAATCAGAGAAATGTTGATTGTTAATGGTACTGTTGGGCAGTTGTGTTCGTTTCACACACCAGTAAGATTATGCTTAAGATTCTGCAAGTTAGGCTTCCACAAAATGTGAACTGAGAATTACCAGAAGAGCAGGCTGGTTTTCGAATTGGGAGAGAAATTAGAGACCAAATTGCCAACATTTGCTGGATTTTGGAGAGAGCGAGGGAGTTCTAGAAAAATGTCTGCTTCTGCTTCATTGACTACATTAAAGCCTTTGACTCTATAGATCACAACAAAATGTGCAAGTCATCAAAGAGATGGGAGTACCAGATCATCTTACTTGTCTCCTGAGAGACCTGTATGTGGGCCAAGAAGCCACAGTTAGAACCAAACATGGAACAACTGATTGGTTTAAGATTCGAAAAGGAGTACAACAAGACTATATATTGTCACCTTATTTATTTCAATTATATGTAGAGTATATCATGTGAAATGCCAGGCTGGATGAATCAAAAGCCAGAATTAAGGTTTCTGGGAGAAATAGAAACAATCTTAGATATGTAGATATGTAGAAATTAAGGAGCCTTTGATGAGGGTGAAAGAGGAGAGTGTAAAAGCTGGCTTGAAGCTCAACATAAAAAAACTAAGATCTTGGCAACTGGTTCCATTACGTCCTGGCAAATGGAGGGAGAAGAAATGGAAGCAGTGTCAGATTTTATATTCTTGAACTCAAAGATCACTGCAGACAGTGACTGCAGTCATGAAATTAAAAGATGCTCCTTGGAAAGAAAGCTATGGCAAATCTGGATAGAATATTAAAAAGCAGAGACATCACTTTGCTGACCACTGTTCACATAGTCAAAAGTATGGTTTTTCCCGTAGCGATGTATGGTTGTGAAAATTGAACTAGAAAGAAAGCTGAGCACTACAGAATCAATACCTTTGAATTGTGGTGTTGAGAAGACTTCTGAGAGTCCTTTGGACAGCAAGGAGATCAAATCAGACAATAAGGAAATTAATACAGGCTATTTACTGGAAGGTCAAATACTAAATATGAAGCTTATATACTTGGGCCACATAATAAGAATATGGGGCTCATTCGAAAAGACCTTGAGGTTGGGAAAGATTTAAGGCAAAAGGAAAAGGGGATGGCAGAAGTTGAGATTAAAGAGATGTCATACAAACAACAAACATGAACTTTGACAGACTTCAAGAGATAGTAGGGCCTAGTGTGCTGTGCCTAGTGTGGTCCATGGGGTTATGAAGAGTTGAACACGACTAAACAACAATGATTTTTGCTTTTTCTTCGTCTGAGATCATGATTACTATCCCTGCCATTTTTACTTTAGCTGAAGCATATTTGATTCTGCTCTAGCCCTTTATTTTAACTCTGTGTGTGTGTTTCTATTTCAGATATGCCTCTTGTAAAAACATGTTGTTGGATTCTGGTTTCTAATCCATTCTGATGTCTGCTTCCATTTTGTGGGTGAACTCATCCCATTACTAACTGTGTATTTCCCGCCAACCAATTTTCTTCATCTTTTTTGCTTCTAACCACTGCTTTCCTTAATTTGTTCTTCCTTTTAGCATCATTTTCCTTTCTCTTATCCCCTTTTCTTCTATGTCCTTATTGGGTAAGTTACAATTCTAAACACAGCTGTACATATAGAAAGTCTTCTTTCTTTGAGCCAGTTCTAATGAGAATGAAGTTCAAGTATTGCCCACCACCCCACCTCCATTTTCCCCTCCAATGTAAAAGGTTTCCCTTGCATACTTCTTTAATGTGAGAAAATTTTCCCCATCCTACCTCTCCCTTGTCCTTTCTCACCCCTTCAATTTTTTGGAGATCATTCCAGTGTAATCTGTTGACACCCATGTCCTCTGTCTATGTACACTCCTTTTAAGTCCCCTAATGATGATAAAATTCTTAGGAGTTAACCATGTATCATGTTCCCATACAGAAATGTAAACAGTTTAACTTTATTGAATCTTTTGTGATTATTCTTTTTTGGGGGCATAAAATTACTTTATTATTCACATAATTTACATTTATGAAAGATCATTACTTTCTTTGAAACAAGAAAGTTTACAAATGAGCATTTTTTCCATTTTTATCAATAAACTGTTAGGCAACATAGTATAGATGATTACTTCTATCTCAGATCAGAAGTATGCAACTAGTAGGTGTTGACAGAAAAAAATTATGTTTCTGCACTGATCATTCCTGAATTTTTTTCTTTAGAATAATCACTTACTATTTTCAGAAATGCATCTTGAGATAGGACATACAGTCTGACCTATGTGGCAATTAGGAAAAAAAAAGTCTTTGTATTCCACAGGGAAAGATAAAGACACTTAATCATATTTTCTGTAATTAACATTTTTTAAAATACAAAATTGAAACCCTTTGAATCTGGCTGAGGTCTAAAATATTTGTGAATAAATCTTTTCATTTTCACGGTAGCACTAAGTTTGCTTTAATGTCTCTTTCTCTGAGATCACTTTTTCTCATAAGGTCATTTAACCAACTGACTTGATTCTTTAAAACAATTAGATAAACCCACTGCATACATAGTAAAACATAACATTTCCTCAAAAGCTGCTGTTTACAAATGAAATTTGTAAGAGGCAAAGTTTATGTTCATAAAAATAAGTCTGCAAGGGGTAAATTAAACTACTGTTCCGTAATACAATCTAATCCTGAAAACAAATTCAGAGAGAAAGAAATTTAGCTTAAGATTTTTAAAAAAATACTACAGTAGAAAAGCAATGTGATAAGTATCATGATTTTTCTATATCTGATGCTTATTTGCATGAAAAACCTATGCGTGCATGCCTGAGTGGAGGGAATCTTCGCTTTGACTTGCAGGTCTGGCCTCTAACTGTGATCCTACAAATTTTCTTGGAAATTTAATTTGAATCAAAATCATTTTTTCCCCAAATCTGGCTTATACAAAACCTAAGTGTAGCCTGTGATTAGTTTTACTGGTTTTTGATTGCCTTGCCTTTATCGTG